GAGCATGGAGATGAAAAGAAAGAGTTTCCCCGAGCAGTTCTTGCGAAGGACTTTGAAGAGGTTCAGTGTAGGAAAGGAGGGGATCTGGCAGACGACCAGGAAGTGGATGTGTGATGAAATGTAATGGAGTAGTATGCAGTAGGGTGGGAGAACGATGTCGGCAGGGGTCTGTTATCGCCCGTTGATAAAGGTTTCGATGTATGACTATATGTGTTTGCATTTGAGTGTTAGTTTTGAGTGTTATGATGATAGTGTAGGAATGTTGGAATCTCCAGTTGGCAGTTCGCATTTTTGTTGTTTCCATGTTGTTGTGTAATGCGAACTTTGTTTTCAGCTACGTCTCATGGTTGACAGTATGTAATGGGAGCCGACACGTGGTATGAGGTAGTTATGATGTTAGCCAGACTAGTGTCGGAAGTAAGTGTGACAGATTGGGATAAGGTGTAGTGCTGTATGGTGTTTGTCAGACATGCAGAGAAGGATCGGGATAGGGTGCAGTGTTGTATGGTGTTGGTCAGTCTGGTGTCTGAAGCTAGTGTGAATGGATGTTAGCAATAGGGTCCAGTTCTCGAACTGTACGTTCATTGAGGAACAACGGTTCGAACCCAGGACCTTGAGTCCGATATCTGGGTTTTTTAATGTAGGGACGACGTTTCGAACCAGTTCAACAGCTAAGCGATTTATGTCCGGTCCAGGAAGGGCCGGGGGTCCGCGTCTAGGTCGGCCATAGACAGCAATAGGACAGAGAGCGGAACAGTAAGTAGAACCACAGACAGCAATAGGACAGAGAGGGGAAAAGTAAGTAGAAGTATAAGTACAGTAATAACGACTTCAGTAATTTTTGGAACTCGCTTTACGCGCTCATCACTGATGGGTAACGTGGAGGCGAGCGTGGGGTTGAGGAAGGAAGGATGCTTAGGATAGGAGAAAGGGACAAGCATGGTGTTTTTTCCCCCCTGATGAGACCGTGTGGAGGCAGTCGAAACCGGGGGTGCCAAACCCACCGGCGAAGTGAACTGTACGGTGCACTTTGGTGCACGAGAACTGGTGTATGATAATCTGTATGCTT